ACATATAGGCGAGAATACACAATGAATTAAGGTACAAATGAAATAAGACAAAAATGATTCCGCTTTTAAAAATTTCTACTAAGGTTCATTTTTAAATTTTATGTATATGAGTGGTTTTGCCTGTATGTATATATATGTGTAACATCTGCCTGTCTGATGCCAAGAGAGGCCAGATGTCCCATGAAACTGTAGTTACAGATGATTGTGAGCTACCATGTGGGTGCTGGGAATTGAACAAGGGTCCTCTGCAAGAGCAGCAAGTGCCCTTAACTGCTGAACCATCTGCCCAGCCCCCTAAAAGGGTTCTTTTTAAAAGAGAGTGTGTGACAGAGAGCAGTAGTTTAAACAAAGCAGTAGTATTTTTAAGTAAATATTTATAAAACCCATTAATTAATATCAGTATCTTAAAACATACTGAAAACATACTTATTAGAATTTTCTCTTTAATTCTGCCATATGTTTTTCATTAATAGAAAAACCAATTTGTATTTTTAAAGTCAAGTGACTTCTCAATAGAACAAGCACTCCAACAATATAGAACCATGAGTAAATTAAAAGAAAAGGCATTGCCTTCCTCTGACAGCCCTATTGTCTATATTATGGCTCATTCCACAAAACAGAATTTCCAGCATTTTCTTCCCCTTGCTTCTGACCACGTTTCTGCAGTATTCACAGGTACATTCTCAATCTGCTAGATCTCTGAAATCACTTCTGATGTTCTCAATATAATTCTGTAATTCTAATACAATTAGCACTTTGTATTGGATGTACCAGTCGTATTTTAGTAACGATATTATTATATTCCATTTTTATAATTTAGTTTTGTAAATTTAAATACACTACATATGAAGTATATTTTAAATCTTTAAAAGTTAAATGCACTATGTATGTATATGTATTATACTCCCTAAAAAGCAATGTATTTACCTTTACAAAGTACACTGTGTGCTTTGTTAGCATCTGACAAAATGACAATGTCTTTAAACATTTGGGTGTGTATATCCCAATCAAATAATTTTGATAGTAAAACCTACATAAATTGCATTTTGGAAACATCAAAGGATACAATTATATGATGCTAATTTCTTTAACAGTCTCTTACTATAAGCAAAAGTAATTCATTCTAAATGGTTATTAAAGTTTAAAATTTTTTTCTTTAAAAGAAACATTAAATTGGTGCCTGTCATTTTCTTTCCAAATGTTTTACCTACTCTGGGCTAGGAATGTTTATGGCAACAGTAGCAAAAAATAGTTTCCTTCAGACATTCCCCTTTCCCCAGGAACTTTATAACCAAGTAATTTTAAGAAACAAAACTGAGCAAGTAAACAGCAATACTTGTTGCAGTGATAGGTGCTCAGCTTGCATTGTGTAGTACAAATGCCCAATGAATTTATTCATTTATATGGACTTATACTCCATTCTATGATATTGAGCAATTGTGCATATACTTCAAATACTGTATGGGGAGATTGCTATTTCAGGAAATCTGGGTAGCAGAGTTCCCCCTGGGTATCCTAATTTGTATTTGTGCTTGAAACAGTCTATGCAGAAAAGCTGAGATGTTATTTTCTTCATCCCCCTTCTCTCCTTTTCTTTCTACCCTTCTGTATCTTTCTTAGCTTTGGTGAATTATATTATTTGTTTACCTTCCTTGTAATTTCATATGACTAACCAACAGGAATACTGTGCTTTACCCATATTTGTACAACATCATATATAACTTTGTGATTAACAGGCAGGCTTTCCAGCTATCTGCAGACTATGAATTTCATCTTCTTAAGATCCTCACTAACTGTGGTGAATAATTCTCTTAACAGACACAGACCTTGAAATTATTGTAGAAGATGAAGGAACATTGATGTGACATGTTAACTATGAATTAAAAATTAACAATAATGCAATAAAATATTTCATTACTTTTTAAAGAAAATGATTCAAAATGGAAGATCACAATCCATTAAACACCTCACTAACCAATAATCCTATTATTTATAATGTTTTCATATCTTACTGTAATTTTTAAAGGAGCTACTTTAGAGTACTCAAATCGTGAAAAAGAAGGATTTGCTTTATGGAAATCCATATAATTTTCTGGGCTTTTGAATGTTTTTTTTCTAAGTTTGAGTATAGACTATGTACTTTAATATTAAAGGTAATTAATATTAAAAGTAATTGATGGAAAAGTAACAGATTAGAACTATTTGAAAAGACATTTTGAAATGTCTTTTAAGGATTTGAAAAGGTTCTATCTTGAAGCATTGTTTACTGGAACAACTTATCATTTACAAGTAAACAAAATTACTGATGAAACACTAGCAAATTTCTGAATCTTGAATGAACACTTGAATGTTAGCCATTTTTTATAACAGTGAACATCACAAAAAGTCATTAAATATTCTTGTATTTGATCACGTTAATAAAGATGAGGGAACAATCTATGTAGAAATTTAATTCTTCACAATGATGTATAGAAGAGTTTGTGTTTTATTTTGGGATTTCTGTCATCCTAGGTATTTTGGAAATATTTGCTGTGTCTCAGGGGATTGTAGGAATACGAGGAGTTTTCAGCAACAAATTTTTAGCGATGTCAAAAAAAGGAAAACTCCATGCAAGTGTAAGTAGAACCACTTTGTGTTTGTTTAAAGTGTTACGGAGGCTTTACATTTGGAACCAAAAAATGAAGTGACTTTTTTTCCAAATTAGTGGATGGAATAGACAACTTGATTAAAAAAGTTATTTTGGTTAAAAATATTGTGTGCATATATAATCAAGAAAATTGTATATTTGTCTGCAAGTAATTATTTAAACACTTCATTTTCTTGCAAACATAGGATGTATAAAAATTTAATTGGTAAATGTATTTGGAAATAGCCTTTGCACAGTGACTGCCACAGTTTGTTTCCTAGAGGGACCCAGGGATGAGGCATTATGGTGATACCCTACACAGCATTTTAACTTCATATGTTTATGTGATGGTTTGTGTCTTCCATAACTTTAGTTAGTTCTTCTTTAGCTTACTATTATTTGTTAAGGTCAGACTTTTAATTCTTCTCAAATGAATGGCTGAACATTTATTTTCCAATTTTCAAAGTATATAGGAAGTTTAAATTAAGAACACAAGAAATTGAAACTTACAATTTATATTTTTACTTCATGGAACTTTAAATTTCAATAAGTACTGCACTAATTTCTATATGTAAGACTTTCACAATTTCTTTTCCTTTGCATCTTTTGAAGGACAGTAGAGCAGAAACCATTGTTGTGGATATTTGAGGATTAAATGAGATAGTACGCATAAAATGCTTAGAGGATTATTTGGTACTTTTTAAGTGTTCAATAATAGTGTGTATTATTATATACAATAAATTAAATATACTATAAGTGTAGTAAACTACTAATATTTTAGCTATTAAGATAAATATAAAGATTTAGGCAAATTCTTTAGTCATTATTTTCAATTAACTTATCTATTTCATTTTCTGGACCACTTACACTCTAGCAAGCCATAGCAGTTTTTATAAAATTATGGCTAACTTTAAACAATTGAAGATAATATTTTTGTGTGTTTATTTTAAGGGAAAAATTCTGTATCACTGTGGGAAAAAAATCAGACATCTCATTTTGTTAAAAATAATTTTATTTGATTGTTAAAAATCTACATCCAGGTCAGAAAACGATAACTTTATATCTGTCTATTTTAAAATTGTCGAATATTAAAATACTTTCCAAATTTAGGGTACAATGCATGTAAAGAAATTGTGTTTTATGTGTTTGTCATGGGATGAACAATCTTAACTTTGAAAATTCTGATTTATGCACTAGCACATGCAAAAACATAGATGAGCCTTGGACCGCTGTGAAGATAATTGCCACAGAACGCCAAGTATTATAAATGGATGCCAATTAGAAAGGTCACACTGAGAGGTTAAGATACATGATTCCTCTGTCAAATGCAAGTAACAAATTTCTAGAAATTTGACCCAAATGTCTAAGGCTGACTGGTGGAAATAATGCAGATAATGTAAAAACAGCATCTGTTATTCTTTCTCATCTTGGCAGACTAAAGTTATTTCACAGAATAATGCCTTTTTAAACAGTACAAAGCGAGTCTTGCTCTTGTCACTCACTGGGGCTCTTTGATAGAAAAGTCATCCTGATGACTTTGAGCTGGATTGTAGATAAAAATTAAGCTCCATGATTATGTGGATTCTTTTAAAACCTGTGGTCCAAACCTATATTCGCTTATCTGAGCCTTTATTAGAACTTTTTCTCTAGATGGAAACCTAATTAAATTATGAAGTAATTTATTTTTAAAGAAGTTGAATTTAGAAATAATATTAATCATAGCAATTATTGGGTTTATGCCCAGCTGGTTTCTCCCCTGTTTTCACTTCATAGTTAAATATGTTGAAGCAAAATGTTCTTATAATTTTAAAGTGTGTTTATTTGACTCGGTTTTGATTTTTACAAAAGTATATTATTCCCCCCAAATAAGCAGCTAACTCACAATTTCAGCATTAGATACTTAATTTGTGAGCTGCTTTTTTATTAATATCTTGCAGTGGCATTAAAGGATACCTTTAAGGTTCCCCTTACAAAGTAAGTTGACATATAACTGTAAAGTAGTCAGATAATTTGGGAGAAAGTAATTCCCCTGCACTGAGAAATATTCATAGAATTGTCAGTTTTCAACATAGATTTTCTAAGAGTTTAAATTAGTTCCCAGGGAGGGGCGATGTCCTTTCACAGCTCTGTAAAAGCTCTTTCACTCTTATTATCTCATTAGATAAGGTTATATATTTAAGTGATATAAGAGAACTAGATACTCTTCAAATTTTCTGTTTAAACATTCTAATGCTTTGTAGGTTCAAGTTAGTTTAAAAGAAGATACTGTGTTTGTGAATAAATTACATTGCTTTCAGGTGTTTCTAGGAATTAATAAGTGCCTGCTTTAGCAACATTTTCACATCATATGTGAAAAATGAATACTGTGGCATGTCATTAAGAGAATTTATAGCATGCTAAAAGCTAACAAAGTGGGAAATCTTAGTTGTGTAAAGTTGTAAATTCTCTTCTCTCTCTCTCTCTCTCTCTCTCTCACACACACACAACCTCTCTTTCTCTCTCTAACTCAGCATACTTTTTTATACTAGTCTTCCCCTCAAACCTTCCCCCTATGTATCCAGTCCTTGATTTTAGTCTACAGAGAAGACGTGTCTGCTATGGAACTTCACCCAGATGTTATCAAATGTTGGTTATTCCTTGTGCTAATATATTGGTTTATGAAACTCTCTCAAGATAAAACTTCAAACAGAAAAGACCTGCTTGGTTCATAGAAATCCTTATTTACTATAACATGCTTCTTTTTTTTTTACATTCACAAAGATGGCAAACTGAAGCAGCAACATAGAGCAGTCAGATTGAAGCAATGTTGGTACTGTTTTAATTGTGCCGAGTTTGTTAATTCCATAAGAGAAGTTTTACTTGAACCTCAACTGTGTAAACATGTTGAGCTCCCAGTTCTCACCCCAACCCTTTACCTGGTATATTTCAAATAAGATAGCCAAATTCCTTCTGTACAGGTTTTTTCAGGACTCTTTATGGATTGGAGGTATATGGTGTTCTTGTCAAAATGTGTCAGGAATCATGGGGAATAGAAGATAATCACTGATCACAGGGCTACCAGAATTCATCAGCGCCATCAATGTGGCCTCTATTTTCTGTCTCAACACATTCCACACAGAGGCACTTTCTGAAACCAAGTGTGCCATTTGTCTCTCATCTGTTTGTGCTCCTTCCTTACTGAAAGCCTTCTAGAGAGCCTTTCCGGATTTTTCATAGGTTTTTCCAGATGTTTTGCACGTAAGCCCTTGATTGTGAGGCTGAGGACCCAGCTCACCCACAGCCAAATTTCATTCCATACTTGCTGTGTCAATTTATTTAGTGTTTCTATTCTTTGCTTTTATCAGTGATACAAGGAAGAAAATTAGATTAACTGCCTGGGGTAGTGGTTGTGTTTTACATGAAAAAATATATACATACACACATATATATATTCACTTGTAGGAATGCCTGGAAAGCATTCATTACTGTTTGAGCAAATCTTCCTGAATTTGATCTCTGGCAGGTGGTTGATGATCTTCAATCTCTTTCTTTCTGATTTTTTGAGGTCAGGCAGCTGTGACCCTTCAGTTGTTTAGATCAGTCCTAAATCCTACTCACCATTGACCTTTATTTCTTGGTACCAGACTTTTTATGCATACAGTACCCTTAGCTGTTAGATTTATCTTTTGCCAAGGATCCCAAATGCAAGCAGGATTCTCAAGTCACACTGTTCGAGATAGGGATTTACCATAATCATATAATTGTTTTGGAGCCCTGTTGTCCATTTTGGTATTTTATATCCCCCCAAATATAAATTTTGGGAAAGTTGGTTGTCATCTGTACTTCATTCTTTTCATAAAGTATGCATGATAACTTGTTACATATCAGAGAGAAACATGTTGGCTTAAAGAGCCAGAGAAAAGCATGTGGTCGGATTATTCTTTTCTGTGTCTTGGGATTTTAGGGAATCATGTTTAGAAGGTAAGCTAATTGCAGAGTTTACGAAACAGGCTTGGAATGTGTGCTTGACCAGCTCTGCACAAGGACTAGAACATCCTCCTTGCCTGAGATCAGAGGGTGCCAGCTGGCTTGCCCAGAAGGAGAGTCTGGACTGGACTTCCAGCACTGAGGGCAGAATGAGGAGTACTCAGCACTCTCTAAAGCTCAGCATGTTACTAAAATGGAAAATGGAAACTTTAGCAATATTTATCATTAAAAAAAAAAAAAAACAACCTAGTAAGCTCCACCCTGCCATTCAAGACCCTTGGCTATATCAAGGCATTTGCATAGAAACTTCCTTTGCTCCATGAGAGCTTCCTATTTATATGAAAAATAATCAAAATTCCAGTAACTTGCGGTCTCAAAATGAGTTTGGGGCTCTGTCTTTGTGTTTTCAATTCCTTTCTTTTCCCTTAATCTTTTGTTCTGTGGATCTGGGGACATGGTTTACTTTACTGAGGAACTCTGGACGATATGAATGAACTTGTTGCTTCAGAGATCCAAGTTGCCTAAAGCAAGGGATAGTGTTACTTTTCTCTGATGGTTTGGGAATGGCACTTACTATTTATCAGTATTTAAGCATGGAAGAACTTCAGAGTAAACAGACCTCATAAAAGCCAGGAAAGAGCCTTAATTTGCATAGTGTTATGGAAAAGGACTTAGTCCAAGGGTCAGAAGATGAGATCTGAGCCAAAGACTCAACCTGGTACTTGAAAAATGTGGGACTTTAAGTGGATCATATCTTTACTTTTCTGATTTAAAGTTAGATAATAGTATCTTAATTATTGTAATTATTGTAATATAATTATTGTAATATAATTATTGTAATATAATTATTGTATAGTATCTTAATTATTGTAGGTAAATCACTGGTCATGTAAGAACCTTCAATAACCAGGCTATGTAGAGATATTAAGGACACCAGAAAGAAAGCTACCTTCTGCCATACTTCTTATATGGTCTTTACCTCACCTGTATCATAAAACTTGGGATCCAAGCTCCCATCTTGCA